AGTAGTAGTAGTAGTAGTAGTAGTAGTAGTAGTAGTAGTAGTCGTAGTCGTCGTGTTTTTGTTTGTTAAAAAATTGGGAAAACAGTAGTCGTAGTAGTAGTAGTAGTAGTAGTAGTAGTAGTAGTAGTAGTAGTCGTAGTAGTAGTAGTAGTAGTAGTAGTAGTAGTAGTAGTAGTAGTAGTATTAGTAGTATTAGTAGTCGTAGTCGTAGTCGTAGTAGTAGTAGTAGTAGTAGTAGTAGTAGTAGTAGTAGTAGTAGTAGTAGTTTGAGTAGTAGTAGTGGTAGTAGTGGTAGTAGTAGTATCGTAGCAGTCGTGGTCGGTATTAGTAGTAGTCAGTAGTAGTAGTAGTAGTAGTAGTAGTAGTAGTAGTAGTTAGTGGTATTAGTTAGTAAGTGGTTAGTAGTTGGTTAGTAGTAGTAGTTAGTAGTAGTAGTAGTAGTAGTAGCAGTAGTAGTAGAGTAGTAGTAGTAGTAGTAGTAGTAGTAGTAGTAGTAGTAGTAGTAGTAGTAGTAGTAGTAGTAGTAGTAGTAGTAGTAGTAGTAGTCGTAGTAGTAGTCGTAGTAACCGTAGTGGTAGTAGTAGCAGCAGTAGTAGAATTAGTAGCCGTCGTAGTCGTAGTCGTAGTCGTCGTCGTCGTCGCCGTAGTGGTCGTAGTAGTGGTCGTAGTAGTAGTAGTAGCAGCAGTAGGAGTGACAGTAGTAGTAGTAGTAGTAGTAGTAGTCGTAGTCGTAGCTGTAGTAGCAGTAGTTGTAGTTGTCGTCGTAGTAGTAGTAGTAGTAGTAGTAGTAGTAGTAGTAGTAGTAGTAGTAGTAGTAGTAGCATACTAAGCATACCTATAAGTAGAAGAATAAGAAGAACTTGTATCAGGGATTTTGCGTGCCCCTGCTGCCTCTGTGTTGGCGTGTGCCCGCGCTCACTCCGTGGCCCTAGCTCGACTCCGCTGTGCGACGCCAAAGTCTGCCCCACGAGGGCCCAGCCACTTCCTTCCCAGCCCCCGCGCGCGCGGCCGCGGGTTGCGCCGCCCCGCTGACACCCAAACGTGTATGTGAGTGTGTGTGGTGTCGTGTGTAGGCAGGGTGCCAGCTCATCACCCGTCTGTTCTGCGCCTGGTGCACCCGCTCTTACTTTTTCACTGATTCCGCCGTTGCGGAGGAGTCTCGTCTTTCCCCCGCTTTGCTTCGGGTTTGCTTGTTGGCTCATTGTCAAGTGACACTTGGGTTCGGCGCCAGTGGTATGATGCCAGCGATGGGAACAGTTTATTGCGCACCCAAGCCGTTTCCGTTTTGTCAAGCGAGGGCTCCAGCACGGACCCCTGGGACAATCTTAGATTCGACTTCCGACATCCACGCAGGGAGATCCAGGCGTGGTGCCCGGGAAACGCACAATGACGCCCAGGAATCCTGGGAATTCAGGGCATGAGGTCCAAGGAGTGCTTACAGCATTCAGTATTTGGAAGTCTTGGGGGCCTGAAGGGACCTCCACCCAGTGCCTACGGCGCGGTGGCGGACACCATCGAGACCCGCCGCTCGGCAAGAGAGGGGCGCTCGAGGAAGCGCGAAAATTGTGGGTATTCAGGAGGTATTGTGAAAGATGGTATGGGGTGACGCCGCAACGAGACAGATCATATACCATAACGGCGACTTCCGCTGCCTTGCCGCGGGAACCTTTGCATGATTCAACGTCCCATGCTGGCGCGACGCTCTGGCTCAAACATAAGTAGTACCCCAGCGGTTTTCGGCAGCCGTTGCTACCGGGGGCCGTTGTGGGCACGCTGGGCGGATCAAGGTTATCATCAGATCTCGTCTCGACAGGTGTGTCGTTTGGCACTTGGCAACGCGAGCGCAGAAGTAGATAGCCCAAGGTGACAAGGGACGACCCCAGAAACATGAGTCTTCAAAGCTCATGCCCCTGGTTGGGCCCCGATTGCCCGCATGCAATCGTGCATCTCCTTTCGGGACCATAGCCACTTCAGCCTGTAGGCAGTGTGGATAGACGGCTGCGGGGCAATCGCACCGATGCATGCTGGCCTCCCAGTGGGGTCAGGAAACGTGTGAAGTGTGGGTGTGCCGAATTGGGAGGGGGGGATACCATTCATATGGTCGCTCTGGGTCCGTGGGTGGAGTTCACTGTGGGGGCACGCGGGGAGTGCCGAGGTGGGTATGCGGACGGAGAGCAGAGGCAACGCGAGGAGTGGGATGCGCGGCGCTGAGGATCCAAAGCGAGCGCTCAGCAGCACAGGACGGCTGGGGATTGGGAGCCCACATGTCGGCCGCCCGTCCCCCAGGGGCGCTCCGAATGCCGGGGCGCGCGGAGCGCCGGTCCGAGGAGCGCTCCCCGCCTGTCTGCTCTCGCGCCGCGCGCACGTGGCGCACTTCCGAGGGGCACGGGGGTGGAGGGCTAAGATCGAGGGCGGGGTTCTACGAGTTATTGTTGTTGTTGTTGTTGCTGTTGCTGTTGCTGTTGAATATTATTACTTCTAAAGAAATATTATTGTTGAG